TTCCCTGGGCGCAGAACCCACAAGGCAATTTTTAGGATCGAATACAGTGAGCTAAAGGATTGGATGATGATTTCTTTTCATTTTTAATATTAATTTCCTAAATTTCCCACAGTGAAACCGATCCCAACCACATTGGGTCCATTTCTTCTCAGTGATCTCAGTAGAAAAGCTGTGTGGTGTATAATGTCTGTTACTGATGATTCAACAGTAAGAGATCCAGGGGTGGCACGGTCGGGCGGCACTCGCCTCCTTATTTTATTGATGGGGATACATTTCCATTGGCTATAACAACAAATTTCGTTCGCTTTCAACTGCAGAATAATTTGATATTTTTTAATTAAAGAGAAATTCTTACAAACGATACGTCTCATATCTTCTTGGGTTACCCCAGGCTACGACAAAATGCGTTGCATCTGCCGCTCTTTCTTGTAAATGGTTGATCCATCACTGGCCAGACAGTTCTGCCCAAAAAACACAAGCAGGAAAATGATGACATCAACTCAAAAGAAACGAACATTCCTTATTTGCTGGCATTTCAACAACAGAAAAGACAGCGAGAATGCAATTGGTGTCAAATCAGAAAGTTTTTGATTTTACGCCATTGTCGCAGGAAAAGGCGCATAGCCCATTCAATTTCCCCCCACAAAAGTAACCCACGTTAGATTTAATTTTGATCTGACTGAAACTTAATGTTGTCATTTAGTTAATCCGTGCCTCATTGACCATGAGTTAAGGGTTAAGGTGAGGGTTAGGGTTACAGGTTAGGGTTAGTTGTATTTTTAAAATGGAGTTTGGGTTTAGTGTTAGGGTTGGGGTCAAGGGGTTATGGTTTAGGGGGTCAGGTATAGGGCTAGGGTTAGGGTTAGTCATTACTGTATTTTCAAAATGGAGTTTGGGTTAGGGCTAGGGTTAAAGGGTTAGGGTTGGGGTTAGTTTATTTCACGTGGAGTTTGCGTCTGGGGTACGGCTAGCGCTAAGGTGTTAGGTTTAGGGCTAAGGTTAGGGTACAGTTACGGGGTTAGGGTTATGGCTAGGGTTAGGTGCTAGGGTTCAAAATGGAGTTAGGGTTGGGTTTTGGGGTAAGGGGTTAGGGTTATTGGTAGTTATTACTGTTTTTTCAGAATGGAGTTCGGGTATGAGTTAGGGTTAGAGTTACGGGGTTAGGGTTACGGGGTTAGGGCTAGGGTTACAGGGTTAGGGTTGGGTTATGGGGTTAGGGTTACAGTGTTAGGGTTA